CATAGTGCGACACTGTATTGCACTTAATGTTGTTTGCTTGTTTATTGCACATTTTGTCAAATGTGTGTCATCATGCTATTCAGTGCATGTGCATACTGCACTCATGTTGCACAGACTGCACACTAGCAGCATGCCGTAGGTTTTGCAGAAAGCCTCTCGTGGTTATCAACAGTGCAGTATGCCAGGAAATCCATCCGTAACGCAATAAACATCTCCATCAGCTACAAGCTTTCAGATGGTGATTATTGAGTGCATGTGATTAGAGCTGAACGAAATACTCCCCGCGAGAGGAATTACGCTGGAGTGAAGGTTAAGAGCTCAACACCTGATATCAGAGCGAATGAGAGGAGCGTTGAGTGCAGGAAAACTCCCGCATCGGTGCAGAGCTGCATGACTTGCATCCTGTCGGGATAATCGATACTCGTTGATGGAGCGAATCAGAGCTGTCTAACCACTCGACCGGAGACGCTGATCGAAGAGTGGAGCGCTCAGGAGGAAAGACAGCAGCTCACAGACGACCTTGAGTCACTACGATAGTCTCACAGAAACTGTTTGCAGATTGTTCTGGTCAAGCCCCGCCCACTTAGACAGCATCTGATTGACATGTGAAGTGACCAATGACAGCTTGTTTTGCTTTTATGTGCTGTTTGGGTTAATATAGAGGCTTGTTTCTGACACATGGTAAAAGACATTTAAAAAAAAAAGTCTCCAAAAATTCCATAAACAGAATTGTGAGATATAAACTCAGAATTGCGAGTTTATATCTCACAATTCTGAGTTTATTTCTCGCAGTTTTGAACACAGTTTGGTCTTTTCTTCTCAGAATTGCAAATTTAGATAAGTATATTCCAATTATTACAACTCTTGGAACATTTTAGCATGGTGATGGATATGACAATGTTAATGTATTTGGTCTTGGCGGAACAGATCTGCTATGCTGCTGCTGAATTGCTGCTGCTGTTGGTTATTGCGGTAGTTGTAGATTATTGCTGCTGCTGCAAGCAAGAACAGGAACTTGCTCTTGCCAGTGCATACGGCGATACGGTTCCGTGAGTATTTAAGACATACTGCTGCTGCACAAATAGCATATAAAATAACCCCGTAGCAGATCTATACAGGTGGAGCTGGGGAAGGTGGAGGGTTTCAGAGAAACTCTGAAAGCGCGCTGCAGGAATCTCTAGTGAATGCTAGCCAGCCATATAAATGCAAGGCAGTAAGCTCATTGGCTGCATATGCAGCATGAACCAATCAGCTTGTGTCAAGTTGTTTAACTCTCTGAATATCATCAGTTACGTTAACACCCCGTCAGAATGCGCCATATAGAGTTTCATGACTGAACTATATATTTATATAAATTGTGAGACATAAACTCCCAATTGCGAAAAAGTTAGAATTGTGAGATAAAAAGTTGCAATTCATTTTTTAATCTGTTAGGAAAAAAAAAAAACAATTGCGAGATGTGGCGTCTGAGTTTATATCTTGCAATTCGGAGAAAAAAAGTCAGAATTGCAAGATGTAAAGTCTGAATTTTGAGATAAACATTCGCAATTACATTACCTTTGTTTTTATTCCGTGGAGGAAATGGACTTCTAGAGGTTTGGAATAATCGAAGACAAAATGTTTTTTAAAAAAAGTCTCTACTGCTCCCCAAGGCAAAATTTATTTGATTAAAATTCCAGTAAAAACTGTAATATTGTGAAATATTATTACAATTTCAAATAGCTGTTTTCTGTGTGAATATCTGTTAAAATGTAATGTATTTCTGTGATTCAAAGCTGAATTTTCAGCATCATTACTCCAGTCTTCAGTGTCACATGATCTTCAGAAATCATTCTAATATGCTGATATATAAGAATATTTCTGATTATTATAAATGTTGAAAACAGTTATGCTGCCCAATATTTTGTGGAAACAGTGATGCATTTTATTTTTCAGGATTCTTTGATGAATAGAAAGTTCAAAAGAACAGCATTTATTTGAAACAGAAATCTTTTGTAACAGTATAAACGTCTTTACTGTTACTTTTGATCAATTTAATGCGTCCTTGATGAATAAAAGTATTAATTTCTTTCGTTCCCCAAACTTTTGAGCAGTAGTGTGTGTGTTTGTGAGGAAACTGCTGATTGAATGAATGAACACACACACACACACACACACACACACACACACACATTCAAATTGTTTTGCTCTTTTAATATTGCTCTATGAATGCACTGTGGTTCATGGCTGTGTTATTCGGATGTTTATCAGAAGCAGAAACGCTCGCTGTCTGTCTGCCGTCCTTCTCAATGAGTCTGAAAATGAAAAGAGGCCCAATAATATCGCAGGCATTTGTTTGGCTAAAGAATATGGTGCTGTTTTCTATCTTGATACTCATGAATATGATCCAGAGTTTCCTTTAGTCTGATGAAAAATACAGTAATATTGTGAAATATTATTACAATTTCAAATAGCTGCTTTCTATATGAATGTATTATTAAATGTAATTTATTTCTGTGATGCGCAGCTGTATTTTCAGCATCATTACTCCAGTCTTCAGTGTCACATGATCTTCAGAAATCATTCTAATATATGTATTTTTACTGTAAACAAACACATCTCATGCATTGGTATTTAACTTCACCTCTCTTTTGAGTTGTTTGAGATGCTCTTTTTTTTAGTTTAGAAAAATATTTATATAGTTTTTTTTTCATTCAGCATGGACACATTAAATCAATTAAGAGTGACAGTATTTATAAAGACAAATACATATACATCTTTTTAAAATATAGAATCATCTTTGCTGCTGTATATTTTATCTTAACTGTTTTATAAATTTAGTATCTTAACTGTCAGTGTGTGTGTGTGTGTATAAATATATATAATTTTAAGAAATTAACATTTTTATTGTTCAGCTAGGATGCATTAAATTAAACAAAATGATCAAAATCGTCAGAGAATCCTGAAAAATAATATCTATATTCAATATATTAAAGTTTGTAACTTTGTGTTGAGTAAAGAAATTAATGCTTTTATTCAGCAAGGACTCATTAAAGTGATCAAAAGTGACCGTAAAGACGTTTATAATGTTACAAAAGATTTCTATTTCAAATAAATGCTGTTCTTTTGAACTTTCTATTCATCTGTGAATCCTGAAAAATAAAATGTATCACAGTTTCCACCAAAATATTGGGCAGCACAACTGTTTTCAACATTGATAATAATCAGAAATGTTTCTTGAGCAGCAAATCAGCATATTAGAATGATTTCTGAAGATCATGTGACACTGAAGACTGGAGTAATGATGCTGAAAATTCAGTTGCGCATTTTACTTTATATTCACATAGAAAACAGCTATTTTACATTGTAATAATATTTCACAATTTGACTGTTTTTTCAGTATGTTTGATCACAAAAATGTTGAAGATAAAAGACTTAATTTTAAAGACAGAATCATTTATAAGCACCTCTATTGGTCTTTCTAGTTGTATTATTGCTTCATCATAATGGCTTGAAGTGTTGTGATCATCTTTGTGCAGCTTTATTGGTTTGTTCAGATTAAAAAAAAAAAAAACATGGTTCATTTTAGATATTTATAAAACATTCAACATGAAGTGTTTATCATCACAGTCCCTCACAGTTATTAGATTTCATGTCTTACACTCTCTCAGGGGTCATAAGTGTGGCTCCAGTCAGACTATTGACCTGAACGATTGCGGTTTAGGCTTCAGCATTTATTAATGATCTTCTATTTAAAGCTGCATGAAACACTTACACCAGCTTGCTATGGTACAGTATTCTTCTTCTAACTTCTTTATACACACTCGTCTTCAAATACTGTCCCAAACAGCACAACATAATATCAACAGTTTGCATAAACTTGCATAAATCATGTTTACAGTATCGCTCTTTCTTGGTCTATTTGAGGTCAGATGTTGTGGTTAAAAATAGATGTTATTTGAGATGTAATGGTTCTAAATCATCCTGTTGAGGTGGGAATAATCTTTATGTTTTGCTCCATGTAAACAGTGCTTTACAGATATTTGCATCACAAACCTTTCTGGTATTCTTGCACATGTTGTGTAAAAGTTGCCCGATTTTATGATGTTTTTAACTTTAACTTAAAGGGATAGTCCACCCAAAAATGAAAGTTATCATATTTTGCTCACTCTCATGTTATTCCAAACCTGGATGAGTTTCTTTCTTCTGTTAAACACAAAAAACGGTATTTTAAAGGATGTTGGTAACCAAACAGTTGATGGAAGCCATTGACTTCCATTGTATTTTTTTTCCATACTATGGAAGTCAATGGGTACCGTCAACTATTTACATTTTCACAATTAATATTCTGTTTTTTTGTTCTTTTAAATGGGTGCTTATTCAGAATTTTCTGCGATTGATGTCCTCTCTTTTGGCAGGCGATCATCAACAGCACAGTCAGCCCCAACATGACCTTCACTAAGACATCTCAGAAGTTCGGTCAGTGGGCAGACAGCAGAGCGAACACCGTCTATGGCCTCGGATTCGCCACAGAGCAGCAGCTGCACCAGGTGTGAACATCAGGACAATAATGTCTTTAAAGGAGATCTATCATGCCCCTTTTTATAATATGTAATATAAGTCTCAGGTGTCCCCAGAATGTGTCTGTGAAGTTTCAGCTCAAAATATCCCACAGATCATTTATTACATAATTTTGAAGATGCCTACTGAGTGAAAGCAGAAACACACTGTTTTCGTGCATGTCTCTTTAAATGCAAATGAGCTGCTGCTCCCCGCCCCCTTTTCCAGATTTGGGCTGTGCCTTTACAGCTCATGCCTCGGATATTCTGCTAAAAAACATCTGTTTGGTTTTGATTATCATGTCTATCGCTTAAATCATGCATTTTAAACCATATTAGTTTAAACTTCTGATATGCAGTTTTCTGAGCGCACACATCCGAAGCGAACGCACAGAAAGCGGCTGTCACACGGCATGTGAGTACTCTTTCATGTCTTATTGCGCTTAAACTGTCAAATACACACAAGTTTACGTAAAAAAACACACGAGTTACAAAAACACACTCACTCATGTCTGTGAACGTAAACAGCTGGCTAAGAAATCGCATGTTTATATTAGATCTGTGTGGCAGTAACGTAATATACAGTAAATAAACAAACACAAAACACAATGGAGGCGCCGTGGGTGGAAACTTGCAGATTAAGGGCGGTAGTATTATAATAAGATCCCCTTTCTACATCACGGGGGGGGAGTGAAATCTAAGCGGCTTTTTTTCACAAGCTTGCAGAGAAAGGCTTAATAAAAAAATGTACTCATTTGTTCTTTTTCACGTTTCCTGGGTTGGAATGATGCACCGGGGACCCGCTTATAGCACTTAAACATGGGAAAAGTCAGATTTTCATGATATGTGACCTTTAATGGCCCATTTATAAAGAAATTAAACAATGCATTGTCTCTGTGCAAATACATGAATGCAAATGCTTCAAATTAAATTAAGAAGGTGGAAAAAACCAACATAATATAGTTTTACACAGACATGTTTGCACATACTTGCATCACCTCTTATATAATACAGCACTATGTGTTTTTTTTGCAGTTTGCGGAGCGTTTTAAAGAGGTAAAGGAAGCTGTGCGTCTGGCCAGAGAGAAATCACAGGACAAGATGGAGCTGAGCACCGCAGCTCTCAGTATCGCAGCGCCTCAGGTGTGACAATACGTATACATATACAATACATAAACAGGTTGTGCAGGCACCATTTTTGCCCCCGTATCTTGAATTTGATGACATTTTTGTTCATTTCGCTAGCCTCAGGCACCAGTTAATTACCGAAACTGTTCGCAAGCACCCACAACACCCTAGCAACTGCTTTGAAAAGCCCAAGCAACTGTATAGGAGTGATGAACACCTTATCAACCATATTACTTTGCCCAGGCAATAACTCGCAACACTGGGCAGCTTAGAAACCATACAGAAATGGCCTGGTAACCATTTAGACCACCAAATAAGCTGCATGGCAACACCCTGGCAACCACCCAACATTCTAGAAGACCGGCAGTACATTGAAGCTACTGCTTAGCAACCACATAGCAACATCCTATCAACCACTCAGAGCACTGCATAGCAACACCCCGGCAACCCTGTCACTCACAACACATTAGTATCTGCTTAGCAACACCCTGACAACCACCCAATATTCTAACAGCCTGGCAATGCATTAAAGCAGTTCCTTACCAACCATCCTGGCTGCCAAACAACATTCTAGAAGCCTTGTGTTACATTAAGCTGCATAGCAACACTCTGACAACCCTGACACTGACAAAACTTTAGCAGCTGCATAGCAACATCCTGGCAACCACCCAACATTCTAGAAGCCTGGCAACACATTCCAGCCACTCCTTAGCATCCACATAGCAACATCCTAACAACCACTCACAGCACTGTAGCAGCTGCATAGCAACACCCTAGCAACCACCCAAAATTCTAGAACCTGTCAACACATTGCATCCACTCCTTAGAATCCACATAGCAACATCCTAACAACCATTCACAACATTTTAGCAGCTGCATAGCAACGTCTTGGTAACCCTGGCACACACAACACTTTAGCAACTCCCTGGCAATGTCCCATAGCCACCTAGCTTTACTCATCTTCCTGTAGTTTCTGCTCTTCATTTGACAGATCTTGTGTGTGTGTGTGTGTGTGTGTGTGTGTGTGTGTGTGTGTGTGTGTGGTAAGAGAAGTGTTACTGTAATCCTAGAGCAGGTCATTCGTCTCACTGTGAAGTGAGAGGAGAACTAGGACAGTGATCTAGCTCTCTGCTAGTGTCTGTCTTCTCATATGATGTCGAGCTGCTGGTCTTTTCAGGTCAGCAGGCTGTTGAAGGGCCGTTAGAGAAGCAGACCTTGGCATTCTGACAAGAGCCATTCGTTCTGCTGTTCACACTGAATTCTGCTCAGTCCACTTCAGTTTCGCTTTTGTCTGCATCCGTTCTCGCTACACAGCATCTGAGAGGACTGAATTATGCTTCAGCAGCAGAATGCATTCATCAGTCCTGTTTTAGTGTTAAACGGTTAGTTCACCCAAAAATGAAAATTAGTCCATGTTTCACTCACCCTCAAGGCATCCTAGGTGTATGTGACTTTCTTCTTTCAGACGAATCATATACGGTGCCCCTCTCCCCTCCATCCTGGACATTTTCCTTACACGATGCTCCAGCAAAGCCAACAGTATCGTGAAGGACCCCACCCATCCCTCCCACAGTCTCTTCCAGCTCCTACCATCAGGAAGACGGTACCGGAGCATCAGAGCCTGCTCCGCCAGTATTTTTATTTTTTATTTTTATTTTTATTTTTATTTTTTATTTTTTTTATGCATAGGTAAACATTTATATATAGTATATTCATAGTCAAAATCTGTCAGTAGGTTAGCTGTGTATAGGTACAGTGTTTATGTGAAGCATCCGTATAGTCTGTATTTTTTTAACTTATGTATAGGTAAACATTTATATATATATATAGTATATTTATAATCAAAATCAGTCAGTAGGTTAGTTGTGTATAGGTTTTTACTGCTTTACTGTATAGGTTTTTACTGTTTTACTTCATTGTTGTATGCCTGTATTTATGTAACACCGTGGTCCTGTGAGGCACGACATTTCGTTCCACTGTACGTCCCCACATGCAGCAGAATGACAATAAAGCTCAACTTGACTTGAACTTGAACTTGAACTTGACTTGAATCCAATCAGTTATATTAAAAATTGTCCTGGCTCTTTTAAGCTTTATAATGGCATGGGTGGTTGTTTTTGTTCAACAGTCCAAAAGTAGTCAAATAAAGCGCATTCATCCATATTAAAACGCGCATCACACGGCTCCGGGCGGTGAATACAGGCCTCCTGTAGCAAATCGATGTGTTTTTGTAAGACAAATATTCATATTTAAAATTATATAAACACCTTTTTCTCACTTCTGCTAACTGTTGTAGGCGGAAGCCGTTCTGGATGGATGACGTAGGACGTATGCGTAGTGTAAGCGCCGGTGATTAGTGATGAATGCGGAAGCGCGAGGGAGAGAGAACAAAACAAAACGCTGGTCATGAATTAGAAGCACAAAACGAGGATTTGTAAAGAAAAATGTCGGAGGATTTCGATATAAGCCAAGAGGAGACTGGTTTTCCTTTGGTAAAGTAAGGAAACTTTGCTTCCTTTGCTCCTGTAAACAAACGTTGGTTTTCACGAGTCTCACACTCGCATGCGCTGCGCCTACAACATCCGCCGGAGGATAGCGGAAGTTACACAAAACCGTTTATATAATTTTAAATATGGATTTTTTTTTTTTTTACAAAAACGCTTTATTTGACTACATTTGGACTGTTGAACAAAAACACCCACCCACTGCCATTATAAAGCTTGAAAGAGCCAGGACCATTTTTAATATAACTCCGACTGGATTCGTCTGAAAGAAGAAGGTTATATACACCTAGGCTGCCTTGAGGGTGAGTAAAACATGGACTTATTTTTGGGTGAACTAACCCGTGAACTAACCCTTTAAACATTGTTGCATTCACACACAGTTTGGTTATAATCCAGAGCGACACCTGAAATCTAGATACACTCTTAAAAATAAAGGTGCTTTAAAAGGTTCTTCACAGCGATGCCATAGAGGCATAGAAGAACCATTTTTGGTTCTACAAAGAACCTTTCAGTCAAACGTTCTTTAACGAACCATCTCTTTCTTGCCTTTTATCATCTAAAGAACCTTCTTTCGCCACAAAGAACCTTTGTGAAACCGAAAGGTTCTTCAGGTGTTAAAGATTTTTTATGGAACCATTTAGACAAAAAAGGTTCTTCTATGGCATCGTGAAGCACCTTTATTTTTAAGCGTGTACGATCAAGATTCACAACTGAATTTTGAGCTTGAGTTTAGTTTATTATGACCTAAATGGGATTTTAGGCTTGATTTGGACTGGTGTCAAAGATTTAAGAGTTACTCATTCATACAGACCATAGTTTAGTCTTGCTCCTGTTGTGAGAACGAGACAACGAGAGTTGCAAATACTGTTGTCAATCTCAAACACTGACTGTGAGAATTTATTCAATTGCAATCAAACTGGAGTGACACTTATACTGCACATGCTCAGTAGAGTTCTCTAGGTTGGTGGAAATGAAATGAATGAATGAATGATGCATTTATATAGCGCTTTATTGTGTATTGCTGTACACCCAAAGTGCTTTACAGTCATGTGGGGGGATCAAAGTGAGGTCATTTCAGCCATAAAATAATTTTGAGGCGTTAAAGTTTCTAATTTTCGAATGTCCTGTATTTTTTCTGCCGTCTGAAGTTTTGATAACATTGATTTTAATCTCATGTTTGTAGGGTTTCACTGAGGGGAAATTGTAATAACTATGAAATAAAAATTGTATGACTGTATTAAAAGACTGCATCTTTAAAATATATTATATACAAGTTTTTTTTTTTATTCAAGTAAAGAAAAGTTTTTTTGATGTTTATAGTAGTGCTGTCAAACAATTAATCTCGATTAATCGCATCCAAAATAAAAGTTTTTGTTTACATAATATATCTGTGTACTGTGTATATTTATTATGTATATATAAATACACACACATACAGTATATATTTTGAAAATATTTACATGTATTTACGTGTACATATTTATATTCATATAATTTATATTATATATAAATATATTTAATATATAAACGTAACATCTTTTTCTTAAATGTATACATGCATACATGCATGGGTGTGTATTTATATATACATAATAAATAAACACAGTACACAGATATATTGTGTAAACAAAATCTTTAATTTTGGATGCGATTAATCGCGATTAATCGTTTGACAGCACTAGTTTATAGTTTTAGTTTTAATTAAATATAACTAGCAGCTGGTCAATTTAAGTACTGTTTATAAGCATTAAAGCAATGATATATTTATTTGACATAAATTGGCTAATATATTTTAATTTGTTACTTTTGCCCTCAACCACTATAACATTCTGACTCAATATATCGCAATAGTTTGATCTAATTTTTAATCTATTTGCTTGACACTACATGTTTCTTATCCAAAAGATGGCAGGTAGATTTGTAGAAGTGTGTGAGCAGCATGTAAAATGCCACCGCTCTCCCCCACACAAGATAAATGATGGGAATGACTGTATCTCTTATGGTTTTCTCTCAATGCTTTCAATCCGGATGCCGTCAGTTCTCTCAGGTGAGTTTGACATTCTCTCCCACACACGTCAGCATGAGCGCTGCGGTGTGATTCAGAGTTTTGTGGGAATATAAGCAGCTGCTGTTGATGTAGTAAAGGGGGTTTGTGCTTTATCACACTCTAACACACACATCACGTGTCCCTCGAGCTCCACAATCAGCTGACTCCCACAGTCAACCCTGGAGCATCATCTGCCACTGCAGGAGCAAAATCAGGTCATTTTCACAGACGGGCTTCACCTTCACCAGAAACCAATCATATTTCATACCTGTGAATGATGAAATGAAGGAAAATGACCAAGTGGAAATAATGACTTACAATGACAACTAAAAACTGGTTTATTGCTGGTCTATTTGTAATGATAGAATTCTGCTAATTATGGTGAATTTGCTCACCTTTTATTATTACAAAACTGAGAATGTCCTTGTTATGCATTTCAAACTTACCTGCTGAAATCTGGGTCACTCGTCAGCAGTGCCATTTGTGCTTGAAAATGTGTATTTTTGTATCATTTCGTTTAAAAACATTAGTAATGAACTTTAAAGAAATCATGGTTCCCCAGCTTATATATGTATATATATACATATACAGGTGCATCTCAATAAATTAGAATGTCGGGGAAAGTTCATTTATTTCAGTAATTCAACTCAAATTGTGAAACTCGTGTATTAAATAAATTCAGTGCACACAGACTGAAATTATTTAGTGTTTTATACACAATAAGCAATGTATATATTTAGAATTGTAATAAATGGCTGACTATGTTCTGATAGTGTCACTGTTTGATATTATCTTTTGTGCCTATTAATCACACATTGACATTGCAATGTACTATTACAGTTATAACAATATTAGTATCCTGTGACAGGATCACATTTCTTTCATAATATGCCAACATGATGAAAAACATTTTAAAATAAAAGTATTTAGTTTGCATTACGTCATCTGTTAAATAATAGGACTAAGTTCAGCAGTATTTTCTGGGACACACAGATGGCACTGTTTATATGTTATTTTTATTTATTTATATTACTGTAAATATAGTAAGTTATTTTTTAGTGTAACAATCAGTTGTCTGTTAAAAGGATTTACCTTGAAGTCTGTCAGTGTGAGTCAGACGGAGGCTGAGCTGTCGGTGTGTATCTGGATTCATCTGATAACAGTGTTCTTGTGTGTGTGTGTGTGTGTGTGTTGTAGGACTTGTCTGACGAGCTGCAGTCTCCTCCTGTGATGTGTGTGAACGGACCGGAGGACAAGCTCTTCCGGAGCCAGAGCGCTGACATTACTCTGTCCTCAGAGAAGGAGCGCATTAAGAAGATGCTCTCAGAGGGGTAAGACGTCTGACTAAACACATCCGCCCTTCACACATTTGTGGGGAAATATTGGAGGAGGAAGAGTGTAACAGCCATTTATCACACTATAATGGGACTTTTCCTGCATGAAAGAGCCCATAAAATGCCCCTAAATTCAGCTTTCTGAGCGCCAACAATTACATGTGAGTTGTTGTAGCAACTGTTCTGAACACCTTAGCAACTGCATAGCAACCGCCTCCAGCACACTTGCATCTTGGCGCCGAATTTCATCGACATTTCTGCATTTTTGGTTCGACTGAATCAGTTTTGAAGGGCTGAAATAATTAAACAAAGCAATGATTTTTAATTAGAGGAAGAAATAAACATGAATGAACATCGGAAGGTGCTAAAAGAGACAGTACAACTTACTGAAATGTATAATCTTTCATGTAATCCCTCAATCAGTGTTTCAACCACAGAAAGACGTCAATAAAACAGCTTCTTGTAATGTCACATTTACCTCAGGAAAGTCATTTAACATCCATAAAAGTATTTATCTAGAAAAATAACTCTAGAGAGGAGTATATATGCACTATATTACATATTCGTTATATTTTTAACCTCTTGTCTTCATTATTTAATGTATGTTTGAATAAATCTGTCATGACAATTAGTTTTATTACAGCCACTGTTGAAATGTTTAGAATTCAACAACAAATTGGAGCAGAAACATAATTATATAATTAAAAAGTTGATATAAAACTGCCTTTTGTGCAATTTAAATGTTCAGTGTTGATTAAATAAATACATTTGATTAATTAAATTATTTTTAAATAAACTTTATTTTTGCTTTTAGTTTTCAGCTGAATAAAATGGTGTTATTTTATATCTTTGAGTTACTATTATAGTTTTATTAATATTTTGAATCAGTGTTTAATTTTAGATTTTCTGTTTTTATTTGAATATTAGTTAAAGTTTTAGTCATTTTTTGTGTCTATATACAGTAGTTTTTATTATTTTTTATTTTAGTTTTAGTTAAGTTAAACTAAACCATCAAGTTAAACTAAATAAAAATAAGAATTGTAGATTTGGCAAGTAGCTGAAAGTGTTTTATATTTTATTTTATTTCAGTTAACATTTATTTTATTTCAAATAACTTTTTTTTTAATGGTTAGAATTTTAGATTTAGTTTTACATACCTATAATAACCCTGAAATTAAAACTTTGATTTTTTTTACAGAAACAAGAAACCAAAATAAATTTCAGTACATCACTAGCAAGCACCACTCACATTTTGTTTGCAAACAGAAAGATTTTTACATTTTACATAGAATTTTTATTTTTTTATTTTATTTTATTTTTGGTGGTTTTCTATTCGTGAAGCAGCTCGTCTGACACATTGAGGAGAGACGCTGTACTGATCTGCCATTAGTCTGATGAGTAATAAACACACACACACACACACACACACAGGAATCAGCATGTCCTTTCATTCTCAGCCGTTTGCTCTTGTGTTCAATCATCACAGGTCTCTTTTCAAACAGGGTTGCTATGGAGAGCGTCTGAATAGTTCCTGTAAAAGTAACCAGTGAAGAGCATTTGTGTGTGGTGACGCTCCACTTTATTCCTAAACGCTGCACAGTTTTCTGCAGTCAAAGGAAATTACAGATCAGATGCTGTTCTGAAAACTGGAGTAGTCTGTTTTTTGACATTATTTGTGAGCCAGAATGTGAAAACAATGGTACACATTTGGACAGTTTTAATTTACTCCGTTTTGTTATTTTCTTTGTTGGCCAAAGTGTTATTTTAGTATTATTTATATACTTTTATAGTTTTTATTTTATTTTTATTGTTACATAAAGTTATTTTTTATTCTTAAATTTTCAATTTTAATTTATAGATTCATTTTAATTTTAGTTGTTGTTTTAATTTTTGTAATTTTATGCTATTTTTGTCATTTTTATATATATATTTAAATATTATTATATAATATTAAGGTTTAATTTATTTTTATTTCAGCTGTAGATTTAGTTTAGTTTTAGTTTTTATATAATTTAGTTTAATTTTATGTCATTTAATTTAGTAATTTTAGTGCTTCAACTTAAATTTATTTAATCTAGTTGTCAAAGCAATATTTCAAATGTTTGTCTAGTTTTTCATACAATATTTATATTTTATTTTATTTCAGCTTTATTTAAATTAACAAAAATGTTAGTTTTAGTTTTAGTAAGCGATAATAACCCTGGTTTGTCAATATCATAAAATGAACTTTGATACCTGGGAAAGCACATTATTTATGTTGTCATGGTGATAATTGTTAATTTAATATACATTAATTAGATTATTCATATTTGGTTTCCATTTTGCTCTTGTTTAACCCTTTATGAAAAGTGTCCCCCTTTAAAAAATGTACATAAATAAATGCAGTGAATTTTCACATGCTAACGCCATAAAATTAAATTGCTGTTTTATAGAGTGCACTCTTAAAAATAAAGGTGCTTAAAAGGTTCTTCACAGCGATGCTAAAGAAGAACCATTTTTGGTTCCACAAAGAAGCATTCAGTCAAAGGTTCTTTACAGAACCATCTCTTTCTTAGCTTTATATAATCTGAAGAACCTTCTCTCACCACAAAGAAGTTTTTGTGAAACAGAAAGGTTCTTCAGATGTTAAAGGTTCTTTATGGAACCATTTAGACAAAAAGGTTCTTCTATGGCATCGTGACGCACCTTTATTTTTAAGAGTGTGCATGCTTGCTTTGATGCACAGAGCATTAAAGCTTCAATAAAATTTCTTTATTTTGATGAAACAATATTCAGTGAAGTTGAAGGGAAAATGGGCTGCGTCTCAGATCAGGGTTGTGTGTTTCAGCTCGATCTGTGAGATGAATCTGGAGGCCGAGCTCTTCACCTTACAGGACAGTAATGCTAAACTGGTGGCGGCGTTGCATGAGGCTAACGCTAACGTGGAGCAGTGGAAGAAACAGCTGGCAGCGTATCAGGAGGAGACAGACCGGTTACGAGATCAGGTGAAAATATAGAAACTGTGCGATGTGGAACAGGCTGCGAAAGAAAAAACAATCAACAGTACAACAATAAATTGAGAGAAAGTGTTGATTGATTATCTGCAGCACTGTATTGTTGTAGTTATCATTTCTGAAGCAGTGTTATACTATTATAGTTTATATTTTGAATGAGATTTTATTTTTATATTTTTCACATTAATTTTTGTTAAGTTTTAGAAATGCTGTTTTTGTCATTTTTAGTTTTTTTTTTTTTTTTTTTTTTTTAATAGCTTTTATTAATTTTAATTTAGATGTTTTGGTTACTTCATGTAAAAATGAGAAATGTTGCCTTGGCAACCAGCTGAAATAAAACAAGTTTAAGTTTTTATTTTATTTCAGTTAACTTTTGTTTTAAGTCATTTTATTTTTTATTTTAGTGTATTTGGTTTTGGTTATTTTAGTACTTGAAGTTAAACTGATAAAAATGAGAAATGTTGCCTTTTAATTTTATTTTATTAATATAAAAATTATAACTATAATAAAATGTTTTAGTTAACTATAGTTTTGAAGCAATATGAAAAAGTTAATACACACAAACACAAAATAAGACTTTGATATGATTTGATTTTAATACATTTATTGTGTGTAAATATACAAAAGTATTATAATATTGGCTGCTAGTTGATAGTGTAAGATAAATGGTTTTCCTTTAAACATAGAATTGAAACATTCATTTATATTAGACTAAAAAAACTTGGATGCTGATAAATCCGTGTATCATTCGATCATTCGTTTTTTGATTTAATATTGAAAGTAGAAAAATGAGAAAACGGCTCCTTTTTCGTTTTTTTGTTTTTTTCCAAAAAACGAAAAACGAGAATTCAGCTTAAATTTTCGTTTTTCATTCATGGATGGAAAAATGAATAAACAGCTTGAATATTCGATTTCTACACGTGGGTGGGAATTAGACGCCCCTTTCTGCTGATTGGTCAGCCGAAGATCAAACTGTGCCGTCATCAGTTCTTCCGCAGTATCACGCAGCAGAATAATAGTCCTCCACTGCTGCAGTTGTATTGATTCTTAACACATTTATTGCAACTACATTTCATCTTTTTTCATCAAACAAACAGGCTAATGAATAGATCGACACAACTCGTACCGGGGCAGAGTCTAGACAGGTCTTTCTTCTGTGTAGAACGGCGGTTCTTAAAGTGATAGGGGGTCCAAGAAATAATT